AAATCCCACTTTATTACCCTGCGCTGCACTAAGTAGACATTATTTGTAGTTATATCAATAGGAATACTCAAGCCCGCTTCTTTTCGGTGTGGTTATTCGTGCAGCCCACATGTGGTCATTTACACCAGCACTACCAAATCACTTAAAAACAGAATGTTAAGAGTGACTATACAAACCACCTGAGTACCAAAGCCATTTGTTTCTAATAAGGCAGTGTAAGATGCCAGGCATTATATAATAAGCATTTCCATTCTTTTGCGCAGCGATCACTGGTAGCTGTTATTTCCCACCTCAGTTCATGAAAAGTGTCATATCGCTATTACATTTGCGATACGAATATAATCAAATATAGAAACATGCCTTCTATTGCTGGTCTTTTGTGTGCACGGCTCCCCTTACAAGCTGTGGGAATGTTTCATGTGAAAGGATTTCAAAGTGGGGCAATTGGACAGCTAAGCTTTTTAGAAAGCGGCTTTATCTGAGGACTTGCAAGGTGTCCTAAATTGGCAGAGCCTTGTGGTGTGCCCCATGCTTCTGTCTCGCATATACATGTTCATATTCCTCCCAAATTCTGAAATATCTAAATATTTTTTAGCTCTTTAAAATGTTATTTAAAAATACAGAATACTTCCCAAATTATTTTTCTAAATAAAGCTAAACTGTAGCTTATTGATTACTTTTATTTTAAATGATGCTTAGAGCTCTTCAGATTTACCTGTTTTGCTGGTGTAAGTCTTAATTCAACTGGGAGAGTGTCCCAATCTCAAATTGCACTAATGCACAGCAAAAGTACCTTCAACATAAACAAGGTCAGAATTGGTCCATAACACATGAACAGCACTTGGAAGTAATTGAATTAAAAGCCCCACAAAAGCATAAATGAGCATTTCTGTCTGCTGAGAATTGAAGTACCCCTTCTTTGGACGTTTCACAAATCTACTAAAAATCCTGCAGGACTCAAGTGGTCCTGCAAAATGCTACTCCACTGTGTACAGCGGAGTAAAATCTGAAATAATGAATTATTTTAAGTCTTCTTAAAATTATAGCAACATAAATATCAAAAGGATTAGCTATTTTCCAAGTCAATGTAAATATGTATTAGTCGGTGGCTTATTAGAGTGAAGCTGTTTATATTTTGTCACTTATATTTTTAATAGCATATTATTTCTAAAGAAGGAAGAAAAGGCTTTTCTTTCCGGTATTGCCAAAGACGCCTGATTGCAAAATTCAATCAATCCCAAAATTAAAATTAGGAGGCTGGATCAGCATGAAAGCAATTCTGTTATAAGTCAGCGTTAAGATGTTATTGATAGAAAAGCTAATGCAATACATTTTCCTCTGTCACACGTTTCTGGCCCAAAGCAATTTGCCAACTAGCTAACCACCTCAGCATAAACACCGGGGAGCCCCCGCTGGGTCCTGGAAATCCCACTTGTCTGCAAGTGCACAATATACAAGGCAAATCTCCATAAAGCTCGGTGCCACAGTTGAATACAAACACTCCTCAGGTCCTGCTGTGACTTGGCAAACCCCGCCGGACAGCTGGAAACTGAGAGGAAAGGAGCTGCTGCCAATAACGCCTTACAAGGGCTTGTCAGTGCAAAGTTTCCTGCAAACAGACAGCCACTGACATTATTATTTTGCCGGAGGATATTGATGTGATGTATAAGATATATAGGATGACACAGGCTTGCATTTGATATATATTTGACAGGTAAACACGGTAAAGCACAGCGCCTTTGCGATACGATCTCAGTGCTCGGGCGAAGGATTAAACCCTGAAAAAAAAAAAAAAGAGTCTGTCCCAACCTTACGTTTTTCCTACCATAATTCTGGAAATCAGATATTCCCCTAAACGTCTTTTTATTACGTGTATCAAAAAGATTTAGCATACTAAGGGTCATGAATGTGTATCTAACACCTCTGCAGCTGCAGTTTGCTGGAGCTAGATTGCATACAGTCACTCTTTCATTTTCTTCTTGGAACCACTTGCAATGAAGTGCTACCGGCGATCATTAAAAAAAGATTGCTCTTTTTATGTAGCTTGAATATACAAAATGGTACTTATCTGCATTCCAGTATAAAGAATGCTTGAAAGACAATTCAAAGATATAAATGAAACAGCTAAATTAGGGACTGGCGTACTCAGTCGTCACCAGTCTTTTTTTCTTACACCAGAATATTTAATGTAAAGAAGCTACATTTTCTAACTGTGAACAAAAGCCCAGCATTCTATATGTGTTATAATAAATTAATGCAATAAAAACAGGTACACTTATCCTGTAAAGAAGCTTATTAGCCAGACTGCTAGTGCTGCAAGATTTGGCATACAGTAAACACTACGGGGTTTTTTTTTGTTAGAATAATGAAGTACAGTTTATTCTTTTATACTATGCAGCACTTGGGGACCACATCCATTTACCAAAATAATACCAAATTAGTACTGCAAATATTGAAATCAGACCTTTCAGACTAACCAGTGGCCTAATTTTCTCTTCAATCTGCTCTTAATCTCAATTCATCAATAATACTGCCTTATTATAGGACTTTGACAGCGAGCTAGGGCTTTTGATAAATTATACATCTCAAGCCAGATTTAAAATTTGAAGCTCAAGTGCTAATTATCTGTACAGGCCTAGTTAATAACGAGATTTCTTGTTAAGTATCTGATCACAGCATGGGCATCATTTGTCAAGAACCTCAAGTCTACCTTGGAGACTAGCTCTTCGAATTCTCCCTTGCCTACCATATGTAAAATTGGGATCTTTGTTTCTATAATAACCTTTTATTAGGAAGCTGACATAATGATTAAGTTCGCTGTAGACACATACAATGAGTTAGACAATTACCCTTGCTGCTTTAAACTACTCAGGCTCCTAGCAAGACAAAATAATTAATATTGAATTTTAATTTGATGTGTTCCACATTTAAACCCCAATTTGCAAAGTACACCTGGAAGGCTGCCGCTGTTTCCTTGCAGTTTGTGCTGATGAAATAAAGGCTCCTGCAGTTTGAATGTAAAAGCACAGAAGGCATGATGCACCACAATCACTTCTCAGTGGAGCAAAGAATTTTCGAGCATTAATGGGAAAGGTAATTACCTAGGTCTAACTTTATAGCCTTTTCTCTAATGAAACTATAATCTCCCAGGCCTACATGGTTTAAGCATTTACATGATTTTAACGATTTCACTGCCATAACAGTTGTCACACGTGGTAATTTAGAAACTCGGTGCCTTAAAACAAAGATGCTAATTATATTTCTATATTTTTATTGTTGGAATAAAACCGGACTGTGCGAAGTGACAGAACCATAATAAAAACAACCATGCGCTGCGTTCCCTCAGCGCAAGGAGCCCGGGGAGGGGAGGAAGGGGGGGCATATTTGTTTGCAGGAAAAAAGGCGCCCGAGAGCTTTCACAACTGTACCTGTTAACTGTGCCAGGAGTTTTAATTCCCCAGAGCTTTGGCAGTGGGGCAAAGCGTGCAATAGGCTCCCAGGAGCTTTAGTCACCCTGACTTCAGGCAAAGCTCCCATTGCACCCACTTGTGTAGTCGCTCCCTTATTAAAATACAAATGGTTCTCAACCATAATCACCTAAGGAACATAGCATTTACCTATGGCATTGCCCTTGGAAGGTGGAGTCCTGGAGCCCATCCCCTGTACTAAACCACTGCTTTCCTACAAGTGTTACCACAGCCCTGGTGGCAAAGCTTCCACCACCACTAACAAATGTTTTCTCTCACCTATGGACAAACACGAGCCTGAAACGTGGGGAAATGGGCTTATTGCCTGAAGGGCTGGACGGAGCAGCCATTTGCAGGGTGTATCCTGTAGTGTGGGTCCCGCTTTTCAGAGGGGTGCCTCCTGTGTCTGCTGGGGTGGGACAGGGCTCCCGCCCAGCTCACATCATCCGATCTTTGCAGCTTTTGCAGCCTCCCCTCTGCACCTCTCTGCTGGCCTCTGCTTTCAATGCCCTGGGCGGTTTGGCCACCGCCTCAGCTCTGTGTCAGCCGTGCAGGCTGGCAGGGCTGTAACACCATTAGTGAAATCGGCTTTCCCAATGACCTCAGCTCCGGGGCTGGGACCCCAGCAACCATCCCGCCTTTACTCAGCTCTAGTAGGGCTGGATGGCTTCCTCCAGAGTTGGCTTTTGTCTATACTTGAAAACCTTGCAGCTCTAAGCGAGCTGAAGTCATGGCTGCTACCATTTCCAGGATAATCTATTTGATGTTCATCATCATGGCACAGCTGTATTTTCCAAAACCTGCTCGCATCCACTAGCTGTGGGCATCAGGTGCAATGTTTGGATGCATACCAAAATATGAACTTTCCAAAAAGGCAAGTGTGTTCATGCCTAATGCAGATACTTTCTGATTATTATCAGCTTATGGGCAACACACAATGATACATTTAAACAGAAAAATCAGAAGTCACTTTGCTGATAGGAAGGTGAGTCTCAATCTCATTTAGAGTGTCCTTAGGGTGTCAGAATTTTAAAACTATTCAGACATTTCATTTTTTTTCAGTTCTTTACTGGGATGAAAAGCCAAGGAGATAGAAAAGCATTCGTCAACCTTATTTTTCTGGCAGAGTCACTCCTACTGGTCCAAAAACATATGTCAAGACTGTAAGTAGTGTCTTTTGGATCACAAATTCCAGTGAAAGACAGTGTAAAAAAGACATCTGGTGGAACAATCTCAGAGAGGTAAGCTCTGAAAAATCCCCAGGGAGCAATGGGCCTGGAGGATAAAGCTGTCAACAAAGAAACATGGACAACTTATATATGGTGACCAAACACAGATTTCTACTTTGGCCCTTGTCACTAGTGTTTCTCTCTTTGCATTGATATGAGAAAGACCAGACAAGAGCCTTGCATGAAACTGTATCAGTCCTTTAATCCTGGGGAGGAAGACATCATTAGTCAGCGTTGCACCAAAGCAAGAAGCAGAGGAGCTACCAGGCTGGGGAGGGGCAAGCATGTAGTGCTGGGCTGTGGGGGTTTGTGGTTTTCTCTTTTTCTTTCCTTTAGGGAAAGGAAAAATTAAATTCACCTTCTCTGCTTCAGCTCCAGGAGGACACTGCAGACCAGAAGGAGATCATGTGGCATAACAACATGTGATGATGGCAGGTAAAAGGTTCTTTTGTCAAAAGCTTAAACTTATCAGTGTCTGTAGATCAGCATTTACCATTATATATAAATTCAGAAAGATAATTTTCCAATATTTAGGGATTTAAAAATCAAAAGGATTTAAAATTCAAAAGGATTTAAAATCCAAAGGTCCTCTCTAATCCACTGACAAGGAAAACTCTTTTTGTAACACTTACACAGTGACTTTTCAGCATACCCTAAGTGTTAAAACTGCTTTTCCTTCATTTGCATCAGCAACGGGGTAGACAGACTAACACGAGACATGGGCTGGTTACTGTCAGCTGCCTGTGTTTTTGTTGCCTATTCCATTAAGGAAGATTATTTGCTCATCTTCTTCGACTAACGAGCAAGGTACTTGAAGCTACCTTGCGTTTACAACAGGTAAAGGACACAATGAAGAAGATGGGAGAAATGAAGGTGTGGTGAGTTGTCACCAGCAATAGCCCGTGGTGTCCTGGAGCAGATCCCAAGGCAGCCAGGAGGTGCTTTAATACTGCAGGGACACATCTGGGGATCTGCTCCAAATCACCCTCGTGCCTGTGGCCCATGCCAGAGCAGCATCTCTCCCACCATGTGTCACCAGGCATGTGTCCCAGGAAACCCACAGGCACACATGCAGACAGACGTATTTAATTAACTTATCTACTGCTATGCACCCTGCGCTCATAACTCACTTCAGGTGTGTCCAGCAAGGCTGTTTATGGCAAGAAGGATTGCTGTGCCCACAGAGCTTCACAGAGCACAGCACATCCCCACTCATCTACTGCATGTGTTTAGTGATACCTTTTGTGTAACAGCACAAAATAGGTGACTCTGGAAAGGAGGGCAGCTGAACGACCCTCACATAGTGCAAGATTAAGGGCTACAAACTCCTGTAATTCCAACAAGTGACAGACTCCTGCACTTTCCTTACCAATTTGTTCACACCGGAAAGCCTTCACAAGCTGTGTTGCTCACCACAGGACAGGTCTTACACACAGGTCCCTGTGTTTCCAGCTCCTAAACTGGGCTGTATCATCAAGGAGGGAGGCCTGTTAGCCTCCTCATCTCTTAGCACTGTGAAGGAAGACATCAGGATGCTGGATACTCAGGGAGAAGCGCTAGGAAAATAAAGTGCTTTATCAGTTTCATCAGTAGATGACATTTTATCTTAGCAGATTGTTCTTTTTTTTCACTAGAAAGCATAGATTTGCAGTAACTGGCAGATGTTAGAAAAGATGAAATAAGAAGGTGTGTTATTAAGATGGTAAGCAGCGACAGGCGTCTTCCTTAGCTACTCCAGTATAGCCATTCACTACCCGTGTTGCCTAATTAGCCACCACCACTTACCCCAGGGAGGGGAAGCCCTGAGAGCTGCTGCTCTCCTGCTCCTCCTCCTCAGTATGACAAACAAAAGCAGCCAAAGCAGCTGTTCTGAGCCACTGGCTCCTTCAAAGGTGAGGACAGAATGATCTGTTTCTGCTCCTTACTTACTCCTGGATTATATATAATATAATTTATATTATATTATATATATATAAAATTTCCTCTCTAGTCTAAAACATCTTGACTACCATTGCTACTGCGTACTTTAAGCAATAGATTCCTGCCTTTTGAAGATACTTTGGAAACCTCATGCATCATGGCGTAAAAAATTATGAAAGTTTATTAGTAGATTCCTGAGTGTGTCTTTCTATAGGTTTTATAGAAAGAAAAAAATACAATTCTATTAACATTGAAATTCAGAATGAGTTATTCAGATTAGGAAATTTCTAAAAAAAGTTTCTCAATAGTTTTAGAAGGGAGTCCTTTCAGGGTTCCCATCACAATTAAAAATTTCTTCCCAGCCACAGATCTTGCTGAACTGAAAGTCAAAATCAGCATTTTTTGGCATGTGTAAATGATGTAATACTCAGGCTCAAGATGTTAGATGTAAAACAACACTGGCATAAGGTCAGTTTTAACTGCATGGAAAAATAGTAGAATTTCAACACAGTGCAGCAATATATAAAATTCACAAATGTTTACTAATGCACACAGGCAACACAAATCAAACATCCTTTTTTTTCTTGAGACATACATTGTTTTTTTCAGACATCATATTACCGTGCAATAAAAAAGCCCAAATCACTTATCAAAAATACTGCCAATGAAAAAATAGGATTGCCACTTTGCTGGTGGTCTTAGCAGATAAAGCAAAATTGCCACTATACATCATCCTTAAAAGAAAGACAATACCAAAGGGGAAGCTGCCAGAAGGTGCCATTTTCAGATGTCAAGATAAGGGATGGACGTGTGAATTAATGCAAGACTTGTTGCATGTTGTCTGTAACAGGCAACCTGGTGCCCTGCTAAAGCAGACAGCGATGCTTGCGCTTGGATGCATTTCTAGGGTGTATAACTGAAGGAACCTAAGAGAAACTTAAGGAAACAAATACTAGTCTTCAGAATGTTTCTGGAGGCGACTGCTTTGGGTTCTTGATGGTGCTGTAAGCCGTCCTTTTGGAGCTGTATGGAGAAACAATGCAGAGATGGGATCCTGGGGGAAGAAAATCCATCGGAAAAATCCATTAACCCTAAGGGCATAAATCGAGAAGCCACCTTTGGCCTTCCTGGGACAAGGGCTTCTCGGAAAGAATCACTGGTGTCCATGTTGTGAAAAGGCTGTGTAAGTACCATATTTCAGATACTGAGAATGACAATGTTAATGACATTATGCAGAACAACACGGTTAGTGGGCACTGCAAGAAATATTGACCATATTAAATGGTCATATTAACATGACCATGTTAACAGTAATGCTAAGAACTACAGTGATTGTAGGGGCAGGTAAGTGTTTCATCAGCAAAATGAGTGACCACCAGGGCAGGGGCAGGTTTTGGCACATAAAGAGGCACAGTTTTGAAGCTTTTTTTTGGTGTTATGTGTGATTGTGGTAAGTGTCAAGATTACAAGGATTGGTTGTCTACAAAGCTAGCTATACTCTTGGGAGCAAGCAAAGGACCGTTGGGGAATCTGTGATGCAGGCTTAGGTTTCCCTGGGCTAGCATGTAATGTCCTTCTGAATCTATCTGTATGTGGGACTTAAATACATTAACCAAGACTATCTAAAACCTCACCTGTGTTTAAGGGTAGATTTGCACCTATTTTGGACTTCTGAAAATGGATGAAAATTAATCAATTTCTTTTTGACAGAAAAATATGCTTAGCTGAGTGTCTCAGAAATTAAAAATTAATGTTCTTCTGGCCACAAACTTTTCAGAAAAGTTACTCTCCAGCAACCTAAAGCCTCTTGAATGTGTCATTCTTAGGCTGAAGAGCGTGTCTATGCTGCTTTGCTTTCCTATATCTCTAACTCATTATGTTTTCACATTGCGTGTCCTTTCACTGCCAGAACTGTATTTTTGGCACAGCTGCCAGCTGGTCGCTTTGCTCTGGAGACTCCTCACAGCAGCTCTACCAGAACATGGAATCTCCTTAAGTTCTCTGTGTACCTTGTCTTATTTAGACAGATGAAGGGTCCAGAGCAGAGGTGTCTGAAAACAGGATGCCTTGGTACTCCATAGCTCAGAGCTGCTCATGCACCCTCCGCTGTGTCCTCAGACCACTGCAGAGCCAGCAGGGACAGGTGAGGGTAAAGCAATATAACTGCAAAATCAGTTCAGCCATTTTCCTGCAAACAGTGAAGGCTGTCGTCCCTACAAAGCCTTTATATTCTAAAAAAAAAATCTAAAGAATTTACATCTGCTCCCTGACACAAGTATAAATCCAGAAAACTCTGATACTGGGAGCTGGGAATGAGGCATCTGTGTGGCACTGGGATGCCTGTGTCTATGCTGAGACAACTGAAAGCAGAATTTAAATGCTAGTTGTATTCCTTCACCTCTAACATGACCATGCTTGAGTTGGCCCTAAAGATTGTTTTAAGAAGAGTGTTGTAGTGCTAAACATATTTTACTGTTAAATCTTTAACTGAATTTTCACTGGTCATGTAAAAAGCCAGAGTAATACCGGAGTTACATTTCTACTGACTTACACTCTTCACAAATGAAAGAAGGTGAGACGACTTGCTAACTGGTGCAGTAATTAATCTTCAAGAGGGTAGGAGATACAACATTAAATTGGAGCTCAGGTTACAGGGATGAAATAAATGAACAAGTTCAGTGTCTCTAATATCTTACCACTTATTCCACAAGCTGTCTAAGTACATCAAGAGATTTAATTAATGCTGAGATTCCCTGATCAGTTGCAGAAAAAAGACAAAACACAGTGTATGGCAAAAGAGTCCTAATCAGACTGACCTGCTACGTGGTACCAGAATTATCGGTGTACCCTACATGCACATTGCAGATGATGTACAATCTCTGCGTCAGACTCTGCTGAAATTCAGACCTACACTGCAAGTCCCCCTACTCAGAAGGGCATTTAGAACAACCTGAGAAGACCTTAACTGATCAATTTGTCAAGGAGAAAATTTTCACTGTTAAACTTTAAATGGAAAAGGAGTTTCTTCGAAAAGGCAAGACTCTTCCATCATGTACAAGCTCTTTTTACAGATTAGCTAACATTTCTGGGCTGCCCACCCACTTCCCCAGTACAAACCCTGCCGAGGACAAGCCCTACAGTTCAAGGCCCTGTGGAGGAATGAATGAAGCTTGAAACTGCTCCAGGTGGGAAATGAGAACCTTCTTCCCCTTCATCTGACTAGACAGACAGGTTTGCTCCTTCTGGAGCCAACAGCTCAGCAGGGAGCTGTGCCTCACAGGGTCTGTATCCGTCCTGCCCCAGGTGCAGCTGCCAGAGCACCACAGGAGCAGCAGGGTCAGGCCTGGCATGGGGCAGCACCTTGAGGTTCTGCTTTAATTACTTGCTCTTTTGACTTCTGCACAAGAACGGAAGCATTTTTTTTGGAAAGGGGAGAGAAATCACAGTGTGCTGGGGAGTTTAAGTGGGGCATGGTTTAATTTAATAATTTAATTCTCTTTTCTCCAGATAGCAGCTGGGCTTTGTATCCCAACTAATTTAGGTAGGAAGCTTGTTTTTATTCCATTAACTTGCAGCATGGATGTCACCAGCCATAGCTGATAGCAGTGACCACTGCCAGAAAGTCATCAACACTTTTATGTTTGTAGGTTCACAGTACTCCTTATTATGCCTACAAAACATATAGCAGTGGATCTGCACAATTTATTCTAGAGCGGAAGCTACTTAATGCTCCACTATGTTAAAAATGCAAAAGTGAAAAAACTGATCTTGCCTCCATCGCTCAGATAGCAGCCGTCACTGGGGAAGGACCGAATCCAGAGCCTGTGACAGTGTTTTCTGATGAGCTATTGGCACATTAGAGACTTACCATGTTGACCTGGGGAGGAGCACACCTGTTCAGTCAACCCGTGTGCATGATAACGTATGATAATCGTGCATCAGTGCTTCTGGGGACTCTGTCTTTACACCCAGACTACCGAGAGATCATGCCATCTATAACGCCTACATGAGTAGGCAGGGTTCTAGTCGTTGAATAATGTTGGAGCTTGTTTGTTACTCTTTTCACATGCTCAGATTGGCAAGAAGTTGACAAGATCTTGATCTAAATTCTCATTGATCGTTTGATTTCAGAAGAGCTGTAACACTCTGCAGTAGCTACGAATTTGGCCAGTTTTCTATATCATGTTGGTTGTTTAAGGACCAAGCAGAATATTGTTTTTTCTTTAGAGGTTGATAAGTTCAGTCCTCAGAAGAAGCTGTTGACTACCATTAGTAGTGGGTTCATTTGTTCTCTGCTGGACACTGCCAGCCAGCAGGGGTTTAGGCTGTTGTGCAGCTCCCAGCTCAATTATTTCTCAGGGCTCTTTGTTTAATATAATGGGGTCAAATTCAGACTGTAGGTGGTTGATGATTTCTGGTCCAATTTACAATAGCCTGTCTGCAAGCCCACCTTGAATCCAGTTAATCTCTTTTGTGAAATAAAGTGAAAACTCTGTGAAGTGTTCAGTGTTTTGGTCCAATATTTAGTTTGTATTATGTAAGCTCATTAGCAATTTTTCCTGTTCAGAGTGACTATGACATATTTATGCAGCTGTCTTGATAGAGGAATTATTTTTATTTCCCATATTGTAATGCACTGCAGTGGGAAGTCTTTCTGCTGAAAAATGAAATGAAGCAATAAAAATAGGTTTAGTACTACCAGTATCTGCCATTAACTGGTTTGCGAACCTCAAGTTTGCAACTAATCAAATATTCCTGATCACTGTTAAGAGTGTGATTTTGTCTTTAGGAGGCCACAGTACTCTGGTTTGTCAATATATAGGCATTGTAGCTGACCATTTGGCCCTTTACAGTGGGTATTAAGTTGCCACCTTGGCTCACTCACAAACACTGAAAAGGACTAAGGGCTGAAGGACCCAACAAGTTCTGGAACGTTACGGTGGGACGTAGGTGTGATGCTTGCCTTGGGAATCACGCAGAAAGCTCTGGGGATTCAAGGACCTTTGTGAAATAAACTGCTGCATTTATTTTCATGTTTTATGGGAGGGCTGAAACAAAAGGCCTCAATCTCACGCTGTCTAAACAGAGTAGCGATGAGACTAATTATCTTCTTCTGGATTAAGGCTCTAATCCAGACTGTACGGTACAGAGATCCAGACAACACTTGACATTTCATTATTTTTACAATGAGGCAAATAGATAAAATATTAGGAAAGCCTTAGCAATGATAATCCAGAATGCAGGGTACAGTCCCGTATCAGGCTATTTCTACTAGGAGATAAAGTGAGTCATCTGGACCTGATGTAGTGTGTTAGAAATCTTAGTTTTGCTGAAACAACAACTACGGAGATAATGTATAGTAGATTTTATGTATAGTCCTGGTGGTAGACATAACCACCTGCTTGCAAAGAAGAAGTAAGACTTTGCAGTTTTCTGGTATATAGCACCTTTTCCTCTTAAACAAGTGTTTTTCCTTCTATAGCAGTCGACGTAGCAAAGACAACACTGTACCAGAGAAGTATCTTTGTTTAATCTGAACTGTGTGTCATATTACTCTATATTGCATTCACTTCAGTCCATGCATGTTTGTTTCTTTGATGCCTATGCAGATCTGAGCACTTGCTATTTATTTTTGTGCAGGAGAAAGTGGCTGATGTTTTGCTTATATTGCAATTGTCTGATTTTACTTGCTTACGAATAGAGAAGCTTCATTTTAACAGTTGTATCAGGATTTTTGCAACATAGGGATGCTTTTCAAATATAAAAAAAAGTTACCAGAGTGATTTAAAATGTAAAATAATGTAAGTATAGCATTCTAAATATATTTGCTTTTGTGATAGAATAAAATAAGCTCCATTTGCTAATTCCACAGTTGGTGGAAAAAGATAGAAAAAAATTTCCCTTTATTTCCCTTTGTAGATAAAGACATGAGTGCTGATTCTTTGCTCATGAGATAAACCTTCTTTGTGGCAGTAATAGATGCAACTTGCAAACAGGAGAAGAGGTAAGTAGCAAAAAACCACAAAACTTACTATTCAGAAGCAAAACTAAAATAGATATTTTATCTCTGAAAGTTATCTCACTATTGAGTAAATAAGATGTCAAAACTAACTGTACTCCTGGGTTGGTTTCTGTTCAGTTCTTTCTCAGGAAAATTTAATAAAAAGGTGAAACTGAATAACGACTATGAGCACGTGAACAGATTCTTTAAGCTGCCACAGGTCAGTGAGCTTGGAAAGGCACCACAGAAGTTTCTAGGCAGCTCTATATTTAACATTTATATTTTATGTCTTAATTTTCTTAATTTCTTATCTTTATTGTTATCCTTATTCCTTATTTCTACAGTTCTATTTTGAGCATTTGTATTTGACTTCAGTTCTAAAAACTTTCAGAATTTTGAATAAACAATGAATATTTCCTTCCTTTTTCTTCTTTTTTTTTTTTTTTTTTTAGTTTTTTTCTGCCCAGAAAAACCTGACTTCGATACCAAAAAAACAAAACAAAACAAAAAAACAAAAAACAAACAAAAAAAACCTGCAGAAACTCAAAAAAAATAAAAACAAAAAAAAAACACAAAAAAAACTCGACGATTCTTTCAGCTTTATTAACATTTTCCATTGTTTCTTGCGATTTGTGTCTCGTTCTTTGTAGTATTGATGATAACGAACATTTGATAATGAATTTTTTTTTTTTTTTTTTTTTTTTTTTTAGATGAGCATCCTTTTGTTGTCCTTTCACTCTGTTCCGGTTCCAGCTGCTAATACACAAGTAATAGAATCCAGTCTTAAGAAAAAATGAGACCCTGAAGGTAAAAAGCCTGAAAAGTTCAATACGGAACTGTGAATAAAATGTATTGAACTAGGAGCCCAGTTAAGGTTTTGGTGAAGCTTCTCATGTAAATGTTAGTTAACAGAACATCAGCAAAAGAATGAGTAAGAAACTGGTTAAACAGTAGATATTTAGCTGAGCTGAGTGGGAAAGGTATTGGAAAAACAGTACTGGTTCAAAGCCTCATCAAATCTAAGGAGTTGAAAAAATGTTTTCATTATTACTATGACATGAAACAGATGTGTTAATGAACTCTGCAGGTGATGCAAATTTGAAAGGCACTGATGGTTTGTATCAGGTCTGGAATATTATATAGTCAGAACCTAAGGAATAAAAAGTTTGAAATTTAACAAAACCAAATGCAACATTAAAAAGAACTCTGGCTGCAATCTGGAATTTCATCAGAAACATCAGAAGAAGTGAAAGTCATCCTTTAATCAGTGAGCACATACAACTCCAAGCCACCAATGCAATTGATCAGAGACCTGGCTTCAGAACCCTCCTGAGTGATGCTTTCTTCATTGAACATTTTGATTAAATTGCAGTAACACCTTTTCCTTGGGTGCATCTTCAGCTCCTATCAGAAAGCAAAACTGACCACTGAGCTCAGTATCCAGAAATGATTGTCAAAACTCTTCCATTTGCACACTGTGGTATTAACTTTCTGCAGACTTGCAGTCTCACAAATGCAGTTCTTGAGATATCAGTTTTACCTTTTTGATCCTCTATTTACACATTTTTGCAAAGAAAAGAGGGTTTTCCTGACTCCTAGACCTCAGCATGCTTTTCATGAATGCTTAGGCAAACTATCTGCAAGCATGAAATGGTTGAGGAAGGAAAGGGGAAGGAAAATGGTTGCCATTAGGAAGGATGAAGTGTCACTCTTTTGCTGGTTTTATCAATAGGTACCCACGAGCTCCCAGACCTGTGCTGCCCAGAGCTGTTCCTGGCAGGCATCTAAGAATGGAACTCTGTGGTTGGACACTGTGGTTTTCAGACTGGAGTAGAAGACATTTCCCTGAGATTTCATGTCTTTTCCACTGGTTTCTTTCTAGCTCATTTGAAAAAGTGGCAATGTAAAAGTGCCAGAGAAGTTCTTGGTTCTCTAGGGCAACTCTGGAGATAATAGGCTGCACAAGGTACCTTCAGCTTAGTAAAGCCTTTATGCTGCTTAGCTGCTGGGTATCCCCTTAGAGGAACAAGAGAAAGATGATATATCATCTGTTTGTTTTTTTTTTTTTTAATTGTCAGTCACTAAAAAAAAAAAAATAGAAAAAAACCCTGTTGTCCATCTGAAGCACTTTGTATGCATGAGTCACCCTTCAGGCACCTGGTGGAGATAAACTTCTCAACTGTCAGAAAAACTGCTGGACCTTTTGGTACAAAAGATCATCCTCTTAAGGATACTTAATGGCTGGGTAGCAGTCTCCTGTGTGAATGTATCCGAGTAATTATAGCTTAAAGTTATACTAATCACTCCTAATAGAGATGGACTGTTCCTCCTGCTGTGTCCCTCACTGCTCCCAGATGAGAACTATCTCAACAATTTGGGATTAGCAAAACCACTTGTTATACTATTAGCTTCATAACTTTATTAACATCTTTGATTATTGAACAGATGGATGAATCTTAATCATTCTTTAATGGAAGATTAAATAGCTTAAATTATATCAATCATATTTAAGTCTTTACTTAATAAAACAACAATTTAAGTTGGGTCATCAGTAGGGTTTGAACCCAGGGCCTTAGATTAGCAGCCAAGACTTCCTCCATTAAAAGAGTAAACCCATTAGCTGCTTGCAGTTGTACACTTACATCTATGTACATTGGCCATTAAAATATATGACACACGCTGTGCCAGTGGATTACACATTGAATTTTGAGATTAAGAATTCCTAGGTTCCTTTTGTGCCTCTCAGAAGGAGTTTTGCCCCCTGAATAGAGTAGGCAATGAGAAATGGGTCAGCTGGTGACAGTGTTCAGTTATATTTTTACATAAAGCTTGTATAAATGCTCAGGTATCAAACAACTTTATTAAAATATCTGGTTCCATTACCTTTGGTTCAGAGACACGTAAGAGTCAAACATGCATATTTGGTGTATGCACTTTGAGATCCAGACAAAAAAGAGAGTTCTTGAAAAGTCATTATGAGCAGAATATAACTATAAGAACACAGTAAAAACTGTGGGGATTGATTACAGTATACTTTTTGTCATCTACTTCAGGTAAACTGCCTCACTGTAAACAAAAGTTTTCAGAGTTGTTTTTTTTCCCTCTACATCATTTTTGCTGTGCTACCTGAATGTTAGGTAACCTCAGATACTCTTTGTGACCTCCCCTGGGGTCAAGACTGGTTTGCACTGACCCAGAATCCCACCTGCGCCTTATTAAAGCCCTTTATCTGCCACCTTATCAGTCGCCTTACTAGAGGTAACACACCAAACTTTACTGAAGGTGACAAATGACACCACTGACTGGAGATAAGATGTAATATTCTCTGAATATTTAAAGAAAGATCCAGTGTAGAGTGGTTCAACAAATGTCATGTGAAAAAGAGGTCTTCAATCCTAGGTATAAATTTGAATGCAGTATGTTTACAGTGCCAGTCTACAGCAAGCTTTGATTTCGTGACTGCATGCAGAGAATTGATATGTTCATTTTTGTAAATAATGTTGGATTAGCAGAAAACCCGTGAATGTTGCTTGACAGTGGTAACTCAGAGCTGCAAATCCAAGACAGAAGGTGAAGTATGGTAAATTCAAGATCAGCCACTGATACGGAGTTTGAGAATACCACCTCCAAAAGCAAAAGACCCAAGAGCACACTGAGGAATGTGTTTGGCCCCAGTTTAGTGGGAACAGAAACTACAAATTTCTCATCACAAACACTTCCTGTGGCATCGTTTGGCTTCCTTCAGGGGGGTTTAAAAACAGGTCGAGCTCTAGCTAGCTTTGGAAAATTCACAATAAAAGGTACAATTGCAAAGTAGCTCCATAGCTGTGTATTAAGTGTTATAATTCTGCAAACTTTGCAAGTTTGCCCATCAGTCTTCCTCCAAACTTTACATACATAGTAAAGATTAAAATTTTATTTGGAGATGTCATTTCACTTTACTGCAAATCAGTACATCAGCTCTTCTGTAAGTGCACTCAGTTGCTCCCTGAAGAGAGAGAGAAACTTAGCAGTGGTATATATATATTTCCTGCTCATTACACTGTAAAAACCCTTGGAGAACTGATAAATTGATTAGCACAAGTCAGAAGTGCATCTTTGTCTTGATCAATACATTTGTGTGTTGTGGACTTGCTAATGGCAAGTGTCAGAGTGCCCACCTGTTTGAAATAATTGCAGGATACAAGCATTAACCTATTGAAAGAGCACATTTATTGGGCACAAAGAAAAATTTATGATCTTCAACTATACAGTCTGTGCAATAACACTGACTGCCAAGTAGAGTAGAGATAGTTCAGCTGTATTAAAATAGCAGGTAAATCTGGAGTCTGGGGTTTGCTCCAGGTATTTAAAGACCTGAGCAGAGCATAATGAAGGAACAGATGTACCACTTCAAGCCAGTATGGTACATGAGTAGCCTCAGAGGAGCGTTGGAACACAAAATAAAAAAAGATACAACTCTGATCAAAAATATATATTTAAAGGTTCAGAAAATAGCACGACTGTTTACAGAGTCTGTACGGAGTCTTCAAGGTCTGATATAGGTGTACTGTAGCTGTAATTCATGTCACTCCCTGAGGATAAGGTACTTTTTTATGCTCTTGTAAATTATTTTATATCTTAAAATATCTTTTCCAGGTGAACTGAAACACCTAGCAGGTTGCTTTTAAGTACTCTGATATTTCTGACTGGCTGTGTTTTTCATTTTAAGCTCACAAAATGGAGGAGGAACTCCCTGTTTTGTGAATCCTATAAACAAGTAGGTAGAAAGTTCTCAGTTGAGATTAAGTTAGGTTGCCTTGTTAGCATGCAGGAATTAAATATTTCCCAAGAAAGCACCTAGCTGCCACAGTAAGCTTATTCTAAAATAAGCTGCTTTCAGTATTTGCTGCTGCTGCTATTCTGCTCCAAATGGCATATTTCCCTACTCAGCAGGAGATAAGTATTGTCTGGTGGTTCCATATCTCACCTGGTAGAGGTTATGTCTAACTTCTGGTACTCCAAGGCACAAATAAGCATGACTTTCTAAGCAGAACAGAGGAGACTCAGAACAGCCAAACTGCAGAGAGACCTGTACCAGACCTGCCCACTCGTCTTTCTTAGAGGAGACAAGAGATGTCTGAATATGTCCTGATGTATGGAGATGGAAAGGGGGTAACAGAACCATAGAAAAGTTTGAGTTGGACAGGACCTTTGAAGGCCTTCTAGTTCAACCCCCCTGCAATAAGCAGGAACATCTTCAACTAGAGCAGGTTGATTAGAGCCCTGACCAACCTGACCTTGAATGTTTCCAGGGATAGAGTATCTACCACCTCTCTGGGAAACTTGTTGCAGTGTTTCACCACCCTCACAGTTACGAATTTCTTCCTTATATCTAGTGTAAATCTTCCTCTTTCAGTTTAAAACCATTACCCGTTGTCCTATCACAACAAGTCCTACTAAAAAGTCTGTCCCCATCTTTCCTATAAGCCCCCTTTAAGGACAAAAGGCTGCAAAAGGGTATTTGAGATTGTTTTCTGAAACCTCAAAACATTGAGGTTTTGTAGTAGTTACGTGGAGATGGAGTTAACACCTGGGCTTGGGAGGAACCTTCTTAATTATAGGTTAAGAGCTGACACCTGAATTCAGACCCAGCACCTTGATTTATTCCTTGAAATAAGACCAAATGGGTAACAGTAGCCCAAAAAGCTCATAGAAGAGAAGTTAGTGGAGTGACTGTTCCTCATATTAAAGTAAGAAAACAGTGATCAGGAAGTGTAATATTGAGTTTTTCCTCCTTGTTTTCTGTAGTGCTGAGCTTGCAGGAGAGAGAATGTGCACTTCTCAGGTATCTTGGAAGTGCTTTTAAGTGTTTTGAACACATCTGCTAGGCTCTGAAAATGCTTTAATTACTAAA